GAGTAAAATGTAACACCTGCTTATCATTCTAATATGTAACTATGATAATACCTAAAGTAATACATCTGTTTATGATCACCTATAACATAATTTAGGATTGCACTAGCCTCATTAGTGCGATGGCGTTTGAAACGAAAAGTACTGGGTCCGAGTGTTGGAGTAAACATCGACTCTGGGATGCAGCTACATTTAGCTGACGAGTCCCAGATAAGATGGAACTCTTGACCTGGAATTCACTGCCAGTCACTATCCATCTCTGCTTATAATTTAGAAGAACTTCTTTCCGAATTTATTTTAGTTCTTGAATTTTAGAAGAGCGTTTTTATTAAAATCATTTAATCAATTCTTATGTTATTATTATTTTTTTTATTATTAATAATGGCTTTATTGAACATTATATTTTGGTACAATGTTGACTTCTCAGCACAAACATCCTCACTTTTAACATGGATTTTGTTCGTTACCTATTATCTAGGCTATGCTTCTTCAATTGATCACTGCTATTGGTGCACTTCTGGGTTCATCTGTTAGCTTACTTGCTGCACGTGTTAGTATTGGTCCTATTGTTTTTGATGCTAATATACTACCAGTTGTAACAGATGATGTTGTTATTGGTTGCATTTTACCATTTACTGCCGGTGGTTTTATCTACATAGCTATGACTTCTGTGCTACCTGACCTGTTGGCAACTAATAATAACACCGGTACTACTACTAATACACCAAAAACACGAAACAATGGATTAAAATCATTCGTCCAAAGTCTACTTGAAATAATTTCTTTAATTAGCGGCGTTGCAATGATGGCTGCTATCGGAACACTGGAATAAAGATGTAAACAAGTATATTTTGTGTCTGTAGAGAAAAAAACAAACTAGGTTGATATGACAAATGTAGTATAGTTTATTTTTTCTGTTTATGCATACTGGTACTTTTTGCTGCAATCTAGTCCCCTCGTATCCTGTTTTTCTTTTTCGTTTGTTTGTTCATATTTCATAAAATCTACTTTTAAGTGAAGCAAAGAAATTCAAAGTAAAAAGCATTTTCAGAGTACAAACGTACTATTTGACGAAAATTACAATTCATTTGCTCGCATACTTTCTGTCTCCCTTCGTATACTTTTTTCTTTATTGTTAATTATGTTGTTATTGTTTTCTTCAGTTAAGTTTGATCTTGTTCCAATGATTTTCATTTTTTATCATGATTTAGTAATACTTCCATTGTACTATTTATTGTTATAAAATGATTAATTTTGGTGGAGTTTTGTTCTCTGAGCTGGATGGTTTGGTTGTCCATCCAGCTCAGAGAACAAAACTCCACCAAAATCATCCACCTGAGCTACAAATCTTCACCATCTCAAAATGATTAATATATTTGTATAGTTTTCTTATATATTTTTATCTTGTTGGTTGAATGGTTCTAAATGATTGTTCCTCTTTTTTTTGATATTGTTATCGTTCTTATCATAGAACTTAATTATCCAAAAAGAAAAGAAACTTTTGAAGTGAACCAAACATTTACATTTCTATCATCGATTTTCTTCTTCTTATTTGGTATGGTATATTTGTATTTTGTATTTAATAACAAACGAAAGCAGTTTATTACATAATCACAATTGTACATCGATCAGAACTTCCCTTTTGTGTTGGTGCTTTTTTTAAATTATCCATAACTTTGTATTAGTTTGTTCATTTCATTTGTTTTTTCTTCACCGGTATGTTTGACTTATTATTTTGGTAAAGTGATTTTGTTTTTCTACTAACTGTTGCAGTTGGATGGAGGAAAGATTATTGTTCAATATGGTACATAATTGCTTTATTTATTAATTTCAAACATTGGGCCTGAACCGGCAGTTATGAATTTCATAGTTTGGTGGTGTGTTTTGAGTATATAATTCCAAAGGTTCTTTCACTGGGCATCAAGGTTGGTGATGTGTGGGTATGAAACAACGGCTTATCGACTTTCAATCGGACATTCAACATAATCACAGGCCTGTATCGTATTGCTATTTAATCATGAAGAAATGTCGACCCTAAAAGTGTCATACCTCACCTTACCCCACAGGTTTCCGTCTCCGGCGTTAAGGCTTTTGAAGTGTGGAGCTAAAACATCAGGAACTTCCCATAAAAAAGCCGTGCGCGACCGGCCTGAAACAGTTGTCCCTTGGGCTCTGCAGTCAAGCTTCCAGGCTGCTAAGGCTACTACTAATTCAGATTCCGTTTTAGGTCCCAAAAGAAGAAATATTTTTCTGCGGTGTTGGCAACCGGGATGTACTAACCAGTCTCATACCTCCTTCAGCACCAGAGATCATCTTGTTGACGATCGAGTCCTCGCTCACTTCTTAATAATTCTGCCATCCTCACAAATAGCCCTTCTAATTTACCTTTATCTTTATGCACCAATAATGCTGGTGATTTGAGTTATACCTGTTCTCCTGAAACCACGCTCTAAACTACATGTTAGGGCTTTTAATGTTCGAGCATTGCGTCGGATAGTAAAACAGTCTTCTTTAGCTAGAACTTTAGAATCTCACAAGTTGGATGTGTGCTTCGTCACCGTAACCCACATACAGGGTCCGACTATGGTCATTCATCTAACTTTGTCGATTTATTCTTCGTGTATCTGGAGACCCCACGGCTACTTCCCATAACCTCACTAGTGTAAGTGAAGCGCTAATTTCGAAAGCTGGATTCCAATAAATAGTTGCTCTCTGCCTGACTAAACGGACGGTAAGAGCTTGAAAAGTTAGTGACACACGCCATTGCGTTTTCGTTATCTTTGAATGCGCTCTCACTGATTGCAGATGGGAGCATGTTAAATGTTATAGAAAGCTATGTATAAGAAGGGACAGAGATCCTTTTGGTGATAATCACGGAGATCATTTTTCCAACATGGTATCTAAAATATTCGTCTCAATTATATTTCGATGTCTAACTAGAAGTCGTTAAGAGCGAACACGAGAAAACCAGGCTAGTTTCAGACCTGGACTTGGATGTATGGGCCAACTACTCACCCTTCGGCAGATTCTGGAACATACACTTCTCGACATTCTGCTATAGTCCTGTTCTTTGGGCTTAAGACAGCATTCAACTCTGTTGATCGTGAGGTTCTGTGGCAGTGTCTCATTGAAAGATGTACCAAGTAAGTGCATTTATTTTGTTTAAGTTCTCTACTCGATCATTTCCGGCCGAATCACAGCTTGTAGCGAACTGTCGTCGGAACTGGTTACTTCAGGTGGTTCTCATCACGGTTGTCTGCTGCTTCCGTTTTTATTTAACGTGGATATGGACGTACTTTTAGAGATAATGCTTTCATCGTCTGACTTTTCACGAGTTGATCTTCTACCGGAAGATTCACTTATTGACTCAGAATATATAGGTGATATAGTTTTGTGTGGTGAAGACGCCGATAAAATTCAATCTTCTGACCACCTTAAGGAACAATCAAAGCATTTTTGTGATGCGGTTCTCTCCCTCCAAATGTAAAATGTTACTTCAGGATTGGCTTGGATCATTGCCTGAATTAGTGACAGGGAATGAAGTAGTTGAACTCACTTCACTTATGAGCGTCTAAACAGTACTGATGGTATGGTGCCTGACAAAATCACGGCACAGATCCAGAAGGCTCGATTGGCTTTTGTCAGCTCGTGTCCCATGTGGCGTGGGGAAGATGTCTGTCTGTCAACCAAAGGGCAAGTTTACTGAGTAACAGTTCGCTCCGTTTTACTCGACGGATGTGAAACGGCCATTAAAAGTAGGGGATATTCGTTGGTTACTGTTATGTGATCATGGGTTTCTACGAAGCTTTGCTCGTGTATTTTGGGACCACGGAGTAAGCAATACCTGGGTTAGGGATAGAGTACTTAGTAAAGATGAATAGTCAGTAGATGAGATAGTAAATCATCATCATATTCCCGCTCACCACCTACCTTGACGGGTGATGTTTCTTAGTTATAATTTGAAATATGAGTATATAGCAACTATCCTACAACTAATTTCGATTATGGTTAAGTTTGGTTAAACTCTTTTATTAACTTACTTAATAGACAATGTTATTTGAATAATAACAATTCATCTATTTCTTTGTACTATTACAATCACTAGATCACATGACAGACTCTAGATAAAATGTTAATTACTTAAATATCACTCGGTGAATATATATGTACTCAAATCCAATTATTAGTCCCTACTTTGTTTTACTGCGCCCTTATGCAATTTGACTATAAATTTACCTATGTAATCATTCGTATATACTTTTTACCTCTCCTTAAACTGCAAAATCGTGCATGGAGGACAACATATTTACAACTGAAGAATATCTGGAACTCAAAACAACAGTCCACAAGCCAACACCAAAGTCAGAATTTACAATACAAATGTCAAGACGGTTCTACTGTATTGGGCGGAAATCTGGAGAACTACGAAAGCCATCATCCAGAAAATACAAGTGTTTATTAACAGTTGTTCACGAAAAATACTTCAGATCCATTGGCCGGACACTATTAGCAACAACCAATTGTGGGAAAGAACAAACCAGATCCCAGCGGAGGAAGAAATCAGGAAGATGCGTTGGAAGTGGATAGGACACACATTGAGGAAAGCACCCAACCGTGTCCCAAGACAAACCCTCACATGGAATCCTGAAGGCCAGAGGAAAAGAGGAAGACCAAAGAGTACATTACGCTGGGAAATGGAAATAGACATGAGAAAAATGAACAAGAATTGGATGGAATTAGAAAGGAAGGCTCAGGACAAAGTGGGTTGGAGACTGCTGGTCGTCGTCCTATACTCCATTAGGAGTAACAGGCGTAAGTAAGTGAGTAAGTAAGTATTCGCCTCTCCACTTCAAATTCACTTGACATTACTTATAGCTTTGTGATATGCGCTATCAACTAATAAACTGTAGTTGCTGTTTTTTATTGCCTTCTAATTTTAAACATCGATGAAGTTTATATATCAACAGTTATAAAGATGATCAATTAACAAAGTAACGCAAATATAAGTAAATAATACTTTTACTTATTTAAAAACAAGTTATTTACAATTGTCAATACTGTGTTGTTGTTCTTTTTATCATAATAACATTCTGTCTTTTTCAATTTTAGTAACATTTGCATAATCACCACCGGCTTTTTCACGTTCTTCATTAAATTCTTTAGTGATTTTTTTAATTTCTAATAATTGTAATAAATTTTTCCATAAATTCACTTGTTTTAAACCAAATTTTTCATTTTCTAATAAAGATTTCTGTTCTTGTTTTAATGTTTTAGTTAAAGCTTCTTGTTCAGCTATTTTACGTGTATAAATTTCTCTAGTAATAATAATAATAATAAAAGAAGAAGAAAGAGACAAAGAAGTAAAAACTGACATAAATAAACAAGAATTCAGAACATAGATATTCTTTTCATACTTTTGTTTGCACTATGATCTTCATCTGATGGTATTTATATGTACTTGATTGAAATCATGAACCGATTGATGTTAGACCATCGTTGAAAACCTGGAGGCACTGGACGCGGCTATCTCCTCCTAGTATGGGACTCCTCAGCAATGCTCACCCATGATCCCGCCTCGTGAGATTCGAACACAGGGCCTTCGATCTCGCGCGCGAACACCTAATCTACTGGACCACTGGGTAGGCATCCAATGGTGTTAGTGTTGAACATCAACCAATCCACGAAATTGCGCGACCATCTTCCATTGTACTGAGATAGATACCTGTTTCTACCCGACACGGATTAGCTCCACTGATCATGGTTTCTCACTAGAACTCCGAGAATTCCCTCACGAAGCTAGTCACTAATGAGCACATGTTAATTATCAGTATAGGGGTCTTGGAGATCAATCGGTTCATGATCTCAATCAAGAACTTAATAATCTCCACAACTCCTATACTGATAGTTATTTATATGTTACGACTCATTTTCAACTTGATTAGCTCCAAAGAAGGAGTCTGAGTAGAAATAGAAGTAGTTTTGTGTAATTTTAATGTAAATTTATCTTATCTACAGACGATATTTATTTAAAGAAAAGGAGAAAATCAAAATGGACTGACATGATAGCTAATTTGGATGAGACTATAATTTATGGACGATTTTTGAGCGACTCCAGACTGACCATGAGAGTGTCCACCTGATAACCAGAACTAAATGAGGGTTATAAACCTATGTGCGGAATTAGAATTATGATCTACAGTTGATAGTTAAGGTTGGGAATTCGATTCAAGGTTTTCATCACGAACTGACATCAGTTATGGTGACATAAATCTATTTATTCAAATGAATGAATGAAACCTGTTATCTTATACCTGATTGGTTCGTCCATAAATTATAGTTTCACCCTGATTCGTATTAGTTTAAGATTATCCCACCTTGTTATAATACAACAAATATTTTAAAAGTTAGAACTGGTTTTTGAGAATTAATATAAATTATAATTTTGTTGTATAATTAATGAATAACTAGATTACTATGTATATGTATTCCTTTTATCATAAACATTCGACTAATCTACTAACTGTTGTTGTTCAACTTAATATTCCTAATTTGTTGCTAGTCGATTATTCAGTCTCACCTACTAACAATCACTTTTAGCTTATTTATATATAATTATTATTTTCCATTTAATCGTATGATGCGGTCTGGTCTGTTTGAAATATAATATAATAGAGGTCGGCTGCTGACTTAAGGGAAGGGAAGAGAGAAGTTAGAGGATCGTGAGCTGATAGAAACTAAACGTTGAACCAAGGTTGTTAGTACGGTGAAACTGTACTTCATAGACGACCTTCGAGTAACTCTAAAGTAGCCTTGAAACGACTTATCTACTTACTGTAGTCAAAAGAGGGTTATAAACTAGTATCAGGAATTAGATTAAATGTTTTCATCACAATTTGACATCACCCATAGTGCTGGTCGGTCATGTATTAGCAGAATCCGAAACATTAATAATGAACGGTAATTAGACCAAATTGGAATCGGGATTCTGATAAGTGATTTGTCATGTGATATTGATCGGCGACGTAATCCTCCTGGTATTAGTTTATGATGGAAATGATCTTTAGCTTACAGAAAATCTCTGCATAAATCATTCAACTCGGCATCGATAAGGTTATGTTAAACTCTTCATACTATAGTCTTTCGAAGTGTGTTGTACGATCTGTGTACAAATCTGTTACAACACATTCCATTGAAAGCTCTTGAGAATTTCTTAGTAATGTTGACGGTGTAAGCATTAAGAATTTCATGGATGAAAGTGATATGGAATGCTTCTTTACTGACAATCAGTGGAACATAGTACAATTGAAATAATAAAGATCATGAACGAGACACACTTAAAAATCACCTTTCATGACGAAACAATTTCAGCTTGTTTACAGGGATTTATTTATCTTGATAGTAACGAACTTTACTTGCCCTTCAAAACTAATAAAACTCTTAATGTAATAATATATATATTCAATTGTAATCGGTTATTAATCATTGTAACGTTCAAATCCTTTAAAACATGATATTGTTAATCTGATTGTTACTTAGCCTGAAAATCACAATCCACTACTTCTAAAGTGATAGATTTCTATGAATACTACTGAATATGCTTATTTTATGATGATAATTTGTACTGTTTGATATTTAACATAAGTAAATCACAATATCACCTAGATATTTTTTTAGAAAACCTATGGAGTGAAAGATCATAAACAATCATAAGTAAGTACTAACAATATAGAGAAGTCTCACAATAGGACGAAACGGCCGTCCAGTGCTTCCAGGTTTTCCATAGTGGTTTAGCTTCAATTGACTCGTGATCTCAACTATTGAAATTACTACAATCTCCACAAAACCCCTTCTTATATTTTGATTGGATTATGCAACAAAGATTTGTAAGTTTTAAAAACACAAGGATGAGTCACTTACCTGTAACTTTTTCTTTTCTCCATAGTTTCATTTGTACTTTCATTTTTATTAGATGATAAAGCAAGATGACTACTACTAGTTACATAACCACGTATTTCATTTTGTAAACGATTTTGTTGAATATGTAATAGTTCTAGATTGGCAGTTAAATAATGAAATTTTGATTCTTCATTTTTTTCCGCTTCACGTATTGTACGTACTTCTTGTTCTAAACGAATAGATTGAGATTCTTGACTAGCTGTTAATGCATCATAAGCGGATTTTTTCTCAACATGTATTTGACCAAGTTCCTATGTGATTTATTCAATAAATATTATTTAAGTTAGTATCATTTGTAATGATCATACTACAATATATGTTTATCTTCTATTTTATGAAGGTAAAATTGAATAATAACGGCTTCATTAATATTTCAGAATTCTACTTTCCATTATTACATCCAACCTTAATTTAATGTATGAGTATATATAGAGCCGTATAATTAGAGAATTATCAGTTTTAATCCGTATTGTTTGTTTGACACATTCCATCACGTCTTCAGTTTGTCTAATTATCTGGAATTTAAACTTATATAATGAAATGTATTTCATTAATCTATGGCTGTATACACATATCTAGCTTAAGTGAAGCCCATTAAGTTTCTTATGATATCATATACTTACTTACTTACGCCTTTTACTCCTAATGGAGTATAGGATGATGACCAGCAGTCTCCAACCCACTCTGTCCTGAGCCTTCCTTTCTAATTCCATCCAATTCTTGTTCATTTTTCTCATGTCTATTTCCATTTCCCAGCGTAATGTACTCTTTGGTCTTCCTCTTTTCCTCTGGCCTTCAGGATTCCATGTGAGGGTTTGTCTTGGGACACGGTTGGGTGCTTTCCTCAATGAGTGTCCTATCCACTTCCATCGCTTCTTCCTGATTTCTTCCTCCGCTGGGATCTGGTTTGTTCTCTCCCACAATTGGTTGTTGCTAATAGTGTCCGGCCAACGGATCTGAAGTATTTTGCGTAGACAACTGTTAATAAACACTTGTATTTTCTGGATGATGGCTTTCGTAGTTCTCCAGATTTCCGCCCAATACAGTAGAACCGTCTTGACATTTGTATTGTAAATTCTGACTTTGGTGTTGGCTTGTGGACTGTTGTTTTGAGTTCTAGATATTCTTCAGTTGTAAATATGTTGCTCTTGATTTTCCAATCCGCGCTTTCACATCTGCATCAGATCTACCGTGTTCATCATTGATGCTGCCCAAATATGTAAAGGTTTTTAGATCTTCCAAATCTTCTCCGTCAATTGTGACTCAGTTGTTGCATACTCTGCTGTATCGGAGAATCTTGCATTTCCCCTTATGTATGTTGAGACCTAGTGGTGCTGAGGCTGCTGCTACACTAGTCGTCTTCTGCCTTTGTTGTTGCGTTTGGGATAGAAGAGTCAAATCATTTGCGAAGTCTAGACCGTCCAACTGCATCATAGATGTCCATTGTATCCCGCGCTTCCCTTCAGAAGTTGACGTCTTCATGATCCAGTCGATCACCAGGGGAAACAGGAAGGGTGAGAGTAAGCAACCTTGCCTGACACCGGTCTTTACCTTGAAAAAGTCTGTCAATTATCCTCCATGCACGATTTTGCAGTGTAATCCATCATATGAATTCTGTATGATATTGACTATCTTCTGAGGCACGCCGTAGTGTCGAAGAAGTTTCCATAGTGTTGTTCTGTCCACGCTATCAAATGCCTATTCGTAGTCAATGAAGTTGATGTAGAGTGATGAATTCCATTCAATTGATTGTTCCACAATGATCCGTAGAGTTGCGATTTGGTCTGTACACGATCGATCCTTACGGAATCCTGCCCGTTGGTCACGAAGTTGGGCGTCTACGGAGTCCTTCATTCTGTTTAACAATACCCTGTTGAAGACTTTTCCCGGTATTCAGAAAAGAGTGATGCCCGTGTAGTTATCACAGTTGCTGAGATCGCCTTTCTTCGGTATTTTGATCAGGAGTCCTTCTTTCCAGTCTTTTGGTACTTGTTCCTCATCCCAAATGTTATTGAAGGGAATGTGGAGTATCCTTGCAGTTGCCGCTATGTCGGTGAAGTCCATGTGATTTTGTGAATGCGTTTATGTGGGAATATGGTGCCGCCTATGACCAGTTTATAGAAGGCACATAGGTTTGCAAATCTATCACCATTTTCGTTCCTTTCTCCCAGTCCGTGTCGTCCCATGATGTCTTCATATCCAGTGTTATCTGTTCCAACCCTGGCATTTACATCTCCCATCAGAATGGTCAGGTCCTTTGTTGGGCACTTCTCGACAATTGACTGCAGCCTATTGTAGAATTGATCTTTACCGTCTTCATTGTAGTCGTTGGTAGGCGCATAGAATTGGATGGTGTTCATTGAAATGCCCTCTTTCTTTGTTTTGAACGAGGCTTTGATGATCCTTGGTCCATGAGATTCCTAACCTATAAGTGCCTTTTGTGCTTGTTTGGACAGCATCAATGCAACTCCTTGTGTATGTGGAGCATTTTCTTCTTCATGGCCGGAGTATAACAAAAGCTCCCCTGAAGTTAGTCGTTGTTGTCCAGCTTGTGTCCAATGTGTTTCACTGATCCCAAGCACATCTAGGTTGTATCTTCTCATTTCTGTAGCAATTTGGAAGGCTCTCCCGGTCTCCTACATTGTACGAACATTCCACGTACCTAAACAAATGGTTGCTTTGGTTGTCAGAAGGGGCATCGGCCACGTGACTTCCGAAGGAACTCGAATTTCATCCTGAGGCATCATAATTCTTCTAAATGAAGACCTTCTGACTCCCAGGGCAGAGTTTAAAAGGTTTGAATAATTTTTTCTGGTTAGCGCTTTTTTAGTGAGTTAGTTTTCTACGGGATGGGGTCGCCAACTCCATGCCCAACCCTTCTCCTTTACCCGGGCTTGGGACCGGCAGTAGCCTACGGAAGGACTCCAGGCGGAGTTTTATTATATCATATATTTTATAGATATTGTCTAATCACCCAGTTAGTTACAACGTAGGACCAGGCATATATATGCATCGGCCCAAGTTACAACACCTCATCAACACAACAAGATAAACACCAAATTCGTAGTAGTTACTTCAACGGTAGCAATATATATATATATATATATATATATATATATATATATATATATATATATATATATATATATATATATATATATGAAATGTAAGTGTAGTGAGAGAGAGAGATAATCATACTGTTTGCTTATTACATAGAAAATGAGAATAGCCTATCTGTTAGGTATAATTATTTTGTATTCTAAATTTACTAACTGAACGGTCATTTACTTATGTACTCATGAAAACTTGGAATTCTAATATTAATTACAGGAAGAAACTAAATATAATAAATGCAATTTAAAATGGAAACTCCGCCTGTAGCTCTTCTAGAGTTACTGCTAGTCCCAAGCCCGGGTAAAGGAGGAAGGTTGGGCATGGGGTTAGCGACCCAATCCCGTAAAAAACTAACTCGCTGAAAAAACGCTAACCAGTAAAAATAATTCAATTTAAAATGAACGAATTAAATATGAACATCAGAAGCGTAAAATTATATGGGAAATTTTAATTCCTAAAAAATAACGATAAAGAATGAATGAAACTACTCCACTGATTCTCATTACTGTCATCTAAGGTTTGTAAGTATAGAATACGATTAATTAGTGGATTTCAAATGGATCGTTAGGATTGTCTAATAGAACTTAGACTAATATTTAGTCATTGCGAAGTCTTCTGTTGTGTCTCAGTTTAGACATTAAGGCTTGTTTCGGCTTATTTCAATGTTTGATAGTACAATACTTTATTGTAAGAAGTGAATGAACATGTTTGGTATATGTTCCAGCCAATTGAGTCGACGATTGTTCATAACCTCAGCAAATAATTCCCCAACTCTGTATGATATTCTATACTTATCTTCAGCATTACTGATTGACTATGCTTACCATATGTGAGTGATGTTTTGTAGATGAATATGGTCAAGGACAAATCATGTGGTTCAAAGTCAATTTTTATCACTTATAAAGTGATTTAAAGTCAACGTCTACGATATGCGCTCTCCTGCGTCAAGCTGTTTTGAAAGTACTGTCACATTCAAGTACTAGAAAGTTTCAAATTTCTTTGTTATTTCATTTTGAAGCCCCTTCTTTTACTTTAAACAGGATTTCGCGTTTCTCGTTTGATTTGTTGTAACTCATTTATCGAACTTTATTGATTATTTATGTCAGTGTTTTGAAACATTCGAGGAAGATGCATTATTATTTGTACTTAGATTACTACTGAAATGTTAGGTTATTGAAAGCTATTTGGAAGAATAACTAAATATGCGATATGTGCTAACTAGCACTCATTAATTAGGAATATTTGTAATCTTGAAAGAACCAATGTACCTAGTGGGATTGGAACTTGCATTATCGATTGTTACAATCAAAGCAATACTAATGAACTATCTAAACCTCAATAAACATATAGGAATGGGATATGTGGGCTGATTGACTACTTTATAGTGACCAATATAATATTATTTAGCCTTTTGTATTGATTAATTTTTTTCAAACTGGTTGAAATCTAGCCAGTAGTCGAATTGACTCGACATAGTATCATAAATATTTTGTGACAAGTGGTTAAAAGAAGTCAGGAAAGAACAATAAAATTAATTTTCATGCTAGTTGACCATTTAAGGTATGAAACATTTTGTTCTAGTTATTTTTGTAAATATACAAAACTTTATGGGCAAATGCTTATAATTAGGTGACAAGTGTTTTTTCGGTATAATTCAGTACTTTTTGTCTCGTTTAGTATTAACTAACAACTAAATATTATAATGTTTGATGTTAGTTTATATCATAGTCTGAATCGAAATATGGAACTTCTTAGCAAAACGTGACTCCATCCGTTCTAGGGAACGGACTCGAGATGGGTATTGATTAACATTTCATAATTCACATTTTTAACACTATAGTATATGAGAATTAAATAACTATACAATACTTCCTGATTTCAAATGATTATTCTCATAAACTCAGTCAGAAATGTCAACTATCATGAAATAAAACGTTCTTCACTAACATGCTACTCTAATATACTACTTATTTGTTATTGTTTGTTCTTAAAAAAATCTTAAATTTCCGAAGAATGTACATCTACTCAAACACAGTGAATAGATTACGTATTTGTTTAATCAATAAAATAATAACAATTTAGATGTTTGTTTTTGTACGTATGTAGTGCACCAAATCGATTATTCCAGAAAAAACAAACTTGCAAAATAAAAAAATGGTTTTCTAGTGCACTCGATATCACTACGTTTTTAAAGTGCATGTAAAACGTAATATGTTTTATGAAATCAGTTAAGTTGTACTTAGTAACATTTTATGATTACATTTATATGTTAAATGAATTCAACATGTATCGTAGGAGAATATCAGTTGAATGACTACTGTGAATCCTTACTTAATTACTCGTGTTACTCCTCGTGGAGGAGCAAGGCTGATCACTAGCATTCTTCATTCAACTCTGTCCTGGACAATCCTTTCCAATTCTTCCAATTTGCTATTCATCTTTTTGATTTCTGATTCTCAACGTAGTGTGTGGTGATCTTTCTCTTATCCGTTTCCCCTCAGGATTCCAAGTTAGCACTTACCTTGTGATGTAGTTAACTAACTTAAGTGATGTGTGCCCCATCCACTTCCAACATCTTTCCTTAATTTCCTATTGAGTTGTATTTTTTGACGATGATTGTGATAGTCTTCCAAGTTTCAGCTCCATACAGTAGAACTGTATTGACGTTCGTATTAAAGATTCTGACATTGATGCTTGTTGACAGTTGTTTTGAGTTGCACATTTTGTTCAACTGTAAGAATGCTGTTCTTGCTTTGTCAATCCTTGCCTTTACATCTGAATCAGATCCGCCACGTTCATCGATGATATCACCTAGATAAGTGAAAGATTCCACCTCTTTCAGAGTTTTTTTATCAAGTGTGATTGAGTTGGTGTTCTCCGTGTTGTATTGGAGGATGTTGCTCTGCCTCTTGTGTATGTGGAGGCCTACTGACGCAGAGGCTTCTTCTACACTATTTGCCTTCATCTGCATTTGTTGATGTGTATGGGACAGAAGCGTCAGGTCATCTGCGTAACCTAAATCGTCTAGTTGTATCCAAGATTTTCATTGTATTCAGTACTTCCCTTCAGATGTGAATCCTGGTAAACTAAAAAGCTGTTAAGTGTTATTCATGAACTACCTTCTGAGTTTAATGACTATTACACAGTCCAGTAATATTAATCTGTAAGCTACTCATTTTGATATAGGTGACTTTTTAGAATAACCAATCGACCGAAGTTACAGTTTTTCTTAACTAGACCTTACTGATTCAGAATAATTCGATAATGCAATAAGAAAACGAAGGTTATCAGAATTATGTGATATATTTGTGTAATACATTTCGAACAATCTGACCACATATATCGAAGAATTCAATTGTTTATCAAAACATGAATTTAATCACTTCGTCATATTACTTTATGTGACATAATGATAAGGATAAAATTGACTCCAGTCATATATTTATGCACTGTTAAGAAAACGATTACATATTTCTTTGTGAGATACCTTACAACTTACAAAACATCTGTTAACGATTTTTATAAGGTAATCTTCGTCACAGATTGACATCACTTTACATAATCAATACAAACCTGAAAATGTTGAACTTCTGCTTTTTCTTAGTGAGACAGTTTTGATAAATTTAGACAATAAGGCTCGAGTCTAGGAATGAATTGAAAGAATCATACAGAATGTAAAGGACTACCGATGGGATATTTGCAAATGGAATATTTAATGCATAGTTCGCATATTTTACGAAGATATTCTGTAATTTTGTGTTAAACATAATTTGGTTGTCTCTCATTTGAGTGTTCGTGTATTACAGGGATCTAGAACGTCGTAAACAATGCATCACATTTAAACCGTTGTGTCTGTATACACTTATCAATATTTTATACTGATGTCAATCCCTAATGAATACCAACATTAAAATTTATATAAACTCCAAAAAAAACTCTCAACTAAAATACTACAAGAATTATTAGTATGAATGAAATCACCTGAGCTCTTTGTCTTAATTGTCGAAGTTCTCGGATGATTGGAGCTAGTTGTGTACGTTTAGTATTGATTCGATTATTTAATTGCTGAATAATTTTTGACATCTCTTCTAATGTAATACCTTTTTGTTCATTTGACAGTGACATTTCTTCAGATATCTTGTATAAATAAATAAGCAAAGAAAAAGTCAATCAAAATAAATGGTGAAAACTATAATAACAAAGTTGTTTTTTTATAATTGAAAGAAATAACAGCTTGCTGTTCAGAATATATATTTAAATAAACTATTTTGTAAGTTAAGATGGATAATGGCTAGTAGTGGATTCCAGGACGCGCGTTTAAAGAACATCAACTCTGAGATGTAGGTACATCCAACTAACCAGTCCCAAACAGGACGAAACAAGCCTCCTGGATTCCACTGCTAGCCACTATCCATCTTTGTTTATAATGCTTGTGAATTAAGGCAATATGCAAAGTATGTACAAATGCCGATAAGTAACTAATCAATTACAGTCCTAAACATTAATGGGAAGATTCAAATAATTTTGATAGGGTTTTGTTCTCTGAACTGGATGGTTTGGTCGTGGAGCTTTCATCGTTCTTCTGAACGACATCATCAGCACAAACTTCAGACAGAAGTCTTCTACGACCAAACCATTCAGCTCGAAGAACAAAACTCCATCAAAATCATCTACCTGAGCTACAAATCTTCTCCACCATCTCAGATTCAAGTCAGTCAGCTACAACGTAGGACCAGGCACATATGTGCATCGGTCCAGGTTGCCATACCTCATTAGCACAACAAGATGAACACCGGAATCATAGGAGTGGTTAGGTCAAAGGTAGTAATATGTAAGAGAAAGATTGCATATAGAGATATAGTACAAGAAGAAAGAATTGGTTCGTAGAAAGAAAGATATGAAGCGATTTTAATCTCTTAGTTTAAGGGAAGACAAAGATTGTATACACCGACGCCATTGTGATCGATTGTGAGCCATGTCACCAAGAGTCTCCAACCATTGGTTACGATAGACAAGCGGACCCCAACCAAGTAGTCTGCATCTACCAACATGGCTCAGACTGGAAGTTAGTGACTTCAAGCACTGATGCCACGTTTTGGTCTGGCCGCCCCTAACTTTCTTCCAACCATCTCCAATACCGGATAGCATTGCACGTCGTGGTAATCGGTGTTCAGGCATATGTAACACGTGGCCCAACCATCTCAGTCGATGAAGATTCATAACCTCATCAACTGCTTTACCATCATTCCCTAATACCCTGCGTCTAACCTCACTATTACTTACCCGGTGATCCCAGCAGATGCCAGCAATATTTCTAAGGCATCTGTGGTCAAATACTTGTAGCTAACGAGTGTCTTCTACTCTTAATGGCCATGTTTCGCTACCGTAAAGTTAAAAAAAAGAACGGACTACCGCGCAGTATACTCGTCCTTTTATTGATAGACGGATATCTCGCCTTCGCCACAGGTGACGTAAGTTGGCAAAAGCCAAACGAGCTTTTCGAATCCGTGCTGAGATTTCGTCAGACACCAACCCATTAGGGCTGATCAGACTTCCAAGATAAGTGAAGTTGTCAACGCGTTCGACTACTTCACTCCCTATCCTTAGTTCAGGTGTTAACGCAGACCAGTCCTGAAGCAACAACTTGCATTTGGAGGAAGAGAAGCGCATTCCAAACATTCTGGCATTGTTGCTCAGTGCTACCAGAAGACTGCATTTTGTCAGCGTCTTCACCAAACAGGACTATGTCATCTGCGTATTCTAAGTCGATAAGTGGACCTCCTGGTAGGAGATCAATACCCGAGAATTCAGTCGACGAGAGTGTTATTTCCATCAATAGGTCTATGATGAAGTTAAACAAAAATGGAGAAAGTGGACAGCCTTGACGGACACCACTTGAAGTTGCAAAAGTAGGTGACAGTTCGCCATAAGCCCTGACTCGACTAGTAGTGTTCGAGTAAAGGGCCTTCACAAGGTTTATGTACTTCTGAGGTACGCCTTTCAATGACAGACACTGCCACAGAGTCTCGCGGTCTACAGAGTCAAACGCTGCATTTAAGTCAAGAAAGACCACCATTGTCGGACGCCGATAAGTATGCCTGTGTTCTAGAATCTGACGAATGGTGAATATGTGGTCGATGCAGCCACGACCAGGTCTGAAGCCAGCTTGATTCTCTCGTGTTTGCAGTTCACGAGTCTTAGTTAGGCGTCTGATAATTATCGAAGCTAGTATTTTAGATATTATATTAGTTAAACTAATCCCTCTGTGGTTGCCACAGGATGATTTTGACCCTTTCTTATATATTGGGACGATGAGTGATTGCGACCAGTCAGATGGGATAAAGTCTAATTCCCAGATCTTAGCTAAAATATTAGTCAACCTAATCGCTAAAGTTGGACCACCATCCTTAAAGACCTCTGGAACCAATCCATCTGGACCAGCTGCCCTTCCTCGTTTCAGATTAACTATAGCCTTTTGAACTTCAGCAAGAGTTGGGGGACCTACTTCAATGTTCCATTCACATTGTCTGGGAATGGAGGGTAGTTATAGAGTAGCTGAAGGCCAGCTGAACTGTTCTGTAAAATGTTCCGCCCATCGTTCTAAACGTCTGGACTGGGAGCAGATGAGAGTATCATCTTTTTCCGAAATAATCTCACTTACACTTGACTTATTAATTCCAGTTTCTTTTATTAGTCTGTAAAGCTGTCTTGTGTTCCCTATAGTCGCCGCCTTTTCCATCTCTTTTGTTTTCGTTACCCACCACTGCTCACGGTCGTTCCTTAGACTTTTTCTTAACCTAGATCTGATTTGTTTTCGCTCTTCATCATGTTCAGAACCTGATGGGACGAGTTTGCGAGAATCCATCAGTGTGACAGACCTTGAAGAAATCCACTGGTTCCTTGCAACTCTGTGGTTTAAGTCACTAATAGATGTCACTGCTGTTTCCACAGCTGCTTGTATGTCTTTCCAAGCAACATCTGGGTCAGCCTCGTCTTCACAACTACCTAAGTGTGACCTCAGTTGTTCCTGGAACCTACTTTTGGTTTTCTCGTTACTCAACTCAGTTCTAACGGGTCTTTTTAATGTGGCTTTTTTGCGTCCAGTGAGGCGCAAACAGATGCGTGCCCGTATTAGGGCATGGTCGGAGTCCAAGCAGGTACTCCAGAATGAGCGACAATCTTCTACCGACCCTCTCCAACGATGACTGATGGCAATATGGTCTATTTGAGTCCATCGTTGGTTTGGTGTAGGGGGTCGCCATGTTAGACGATGCCTCTCCTTATGCTTAAAATTTGTGTTTGCTAAAAATAAACGATTGTCTGAGCATAGCTGCAGCAGACGATCACCATTATCTGTCCGCTGTGTCGGAATACTAAAATATCCACCTAAATGCCTTTCTGTTTGGTTTAAGCTACCTATCTGAGCATTAAAATCACCTGCTACGAGTACTATGTCTGAGCGTTTAGCTTTCTGAAGAAGTTCAGAAAGCTTCCTGTAAAATTCATCTTTCACTTCATCTGAGCTGCAGTCAGTGGGAGCGTAGACAGAAACGACAAAAAGGCAACGACGTGTGTCCCTACCCTTCCGAGTTCTTACGTAGCCGTTCAGTCGAACAGCACATAGACGACTGTTGACGGGGATCCATTCTAGCAGTGCTTGTTCCGCCCTCATGCTTAGTGCTATGCCTACACCTGCCAGTCCACGAGAACTGGCCATCGGGTCACCAGATACACGGAGAGTGTATCTCGTTGGCTCTCCGTCTTGACGAGGTGAGGTCAAGTGAATGACCACACTGGAATCCTGTATGCGTGTTTCAGAGACACAGCATACATCAATGGAAAGAGACTAGGGTTTTAGCCAAGGAAGCCTGCTGACCGATTCAACATAGAGTGCGTACGTTGAAAGCTCCAATGTGTAGTTTGGAGCGAGGTTTCAGTAGACCTGGGACAGAGTTTTGAGCACTAGAATCGTTGGCTATGGTGACACTTGAGGAGGAAGCCGAAGGAGGAAGTTTAGGGTTGAAAGTCGATGTAGGAGGAATAATAGGAATTGAAGAGGAAGGTTGATTATGAATACAGTGGTCTTGGGTGCTGTTAGAGGTATGAGGGCGGTTATCACTTCCCGGTTGCCCACACCGAGGAAGGGTTGTTCTGGAGGTACCTGAAAAGGAAATTGGATTAGAGGTGGTCTCAGTGACCTGAGAGCGTGACCGCAGTGCCCAAGGGACAACTGCTTGAGGCCGGTCGCGCACGGCCTTTTCGTGGAAGGTTTTCGACGTGTTAGCTCCGTTCTTCAAAGGGCCTTACCGCCGGAGACGGAAATCCGTGAGGTAAGGTGAGGTGTGCATTTTTAGGGTCGACCTTTTCTAACCCCACCCCTCCTTGTGGGAAGGCAGCATCGCTGTCATGCTGGTTGTCTGAAGGAAACACCTTACTGCTGTCACACCTCTGTACAGTCAGCAGTACGACTTCGCCTTCGGACCTTGGGTTTGTTGCTTTTAGTCTTACCGCTCTTCAACCGACCTGTCTGACATGGTAGGACCTTGAGGAATGGTTGTTCCAGCCAGTATAGCTCGGTTGCTTCATCACGATAGGCAAGCCCGACCACCACGTCAAGGTAGCAACAATGGTCGGGTCAGATTCAAGTAAGCAATACCAAGTGTACATTGTAAGTTATTGTTCAATTTCATTTATTATTCCTATAAACAAATTGAGTTTGAATAACTTAGTTTGAATAAATTGAATTCAGGTTGAGAAACTAAATGAAGTTTATTGCTTTCTTTTTTACAAAAAATACACAACCCTTCCAAAATTTACAAGCTATTTTGTTGTAAAAGATGGAAGAAAACACCTTGGTATTACAGTATCAACAAGTGATCTCTGAAGAAATCAAAGTATAAATGATGATATTATCAAGATATCAATCCTTTTGTATCCTCGAGCTCAATATTAGCATGTGTTGTGAGTTAGAATAATAAAACCGTAGAGTTTTCTTTTTAGTTTACCATATTGGTTATTTGAATGAGATGATAGATCTGAATTACATAATGTCTACCAGTTCTTTGTGGGAAAACAATCAAACATTACTTAAATAAAACCTTCTTGTCAGTTCTAAAATAAGGAATTCGAGTAAAAAA